GTGGTGTGTCACCTTGGTGCTCAAAACAAGGTCATTCTAGTTGCCCTTTATGAAGCTGACGACATCATTTCCTGTTAGTCATTGCTTTGCGATGGCATTTTTGACTGAAAACATTTAGCATACTACACATTAGCAAATATAAAACTGATGCCTTCACTCATGCATGTCTGACCATTTTTATCTCTTTTATATGCCCTCAATGTACTCTTTTTTCCAAACTTGCACTATGGACTTCACAGTGGATTACTAATAAGACTTTATCTTATTTAAATACATTTGGCAAATCTGCTAGGTTGTTAATGACTTGTAAAGTTCAGCAGTTCTTGCACAGTTCAGATAGTGATGCTTGGTAGTCTCCCCAGTGTTTAAGCCTTAGCTAGAGATCTGTCTATAGAGCTTACAGCGGACAGGCACCCAGAGAAAAAGCTCCGAGCTAAATGAGCTTGGCACAGGAAAGCACTGTGAAAAAGACCAGACTTTATTTCTTCCCGAATCCTCCTCATTAATTAATACTTGCCCTCAAGCTACTGATATATACAAACAAGAAGGAACGCACATGAAATGTGCCTGCAAATTGAAGCAAATACAAGATAAGAGATGGAAATGAATTTCCATCCAACATTATTTTGAAAAATAAATATTGTTCCACGCATTATGCATTTTCATGAAATTCTTAATTGGCTTAGAAATGGGAAAGTGAGTTACTTTTGTGTTTAATTTCAAGGGGCTACTGGTATCACTGTCCAATTGATTTTATTCAGCTGCAAATATTTTTACCCCAGGCAAATATTCCTGAACTGGCTAAAATTGTCTGCTGGGTCCTAAATAAACAGTTTTTAAAAGTCTGAAATCTGACTAAATGATCCACAAAGGCATTTTGAAAAAAATAAATAAAACAGATTTAAGCATACCTTCAGTTTAATTTAATATTGATGTAGTGATTATTACTATACTATAATATAATTAATATACTATAATGCTGCATTATATGCAATATATATATACACAAACACACACACACACACACACACACACACACAATAATAATTAAAATGTGCTTGATTTTGGTATTTTAATATATTATGTTATGAAATATATCAAAATAATTAGCTAAAACGGGGTTTCTATGGAAGAGCCATTTAAGCTGTGTGAGTGTGAAGAATATTTAAATAATCTGAAGAAACTTTTGTGCATTGGAAATGTTTCATGGATGTTAAAGGTTCTTCATGGAACCATAGATGACATCAAAAAAAAATAAATAGAATACTAGCTTACTAACTACCAAATTCTGCATATTATATACTTTATACTGTCAGTATGTATTATGTATGCAAATTTTCATTATGCCAGGTTGTTGTGAGCCAGTCAGTTGAGATGCAAATGACATATGACGTGTTTGCAATCATATAGTAGGCCTATACAGTATGCTCTGTTGTATTCAGCATGAGCTCATTTTCCACTGATGGCCTTAAGAGTGTGTGCGTGTTTCTCTTCTGCAAGCAGCGGAAAATAAATCACAAATTATAATTTATAATAAATATTACAAAAAGTATGTGAAATGTGAAACTTTAAATGTTTCCAAAAAGTATGCTACATGACTCATATTGCAAGTTTAATGCAGTGAATAACATCCAATACCCTGAAAATAATATTTATTTTGAATATTTAAAAAATGTTTTTTAATTTTAATCCAATTTTTGCGTAAAACTGTCATAACATTTGGCACAATGTTAATGTCATTTTCTTGTATTTCGTTCATTATATGGAAAAATTGCATATTTTTCCATAAGATTGGAAAAATGCATTGTGGGATTCAGTATGCTCTGTTGTATTCAGTTTTTATGCTGTTTAGCATAAGCTAATTTTTCAAAATGTGTATTTAGGTTTTTTTAAATAATTTTGTATTGCAAGCATCAGAAAACGAATTACAAATATTTATTTAATCATAGTAGATTTTTTACTAGTGCCTGTTTATTTTATATTATTATTTATTTTTATTTTTTTTGCCGTCAGCTCTGGAGAGTTGCTAGTGAAAGATTTGTCATGATGTCATTTTTCTGACAGTCGCATGGCATTTGCAGCTCAGTTGAATGGCTCTCAACAACCTGGCTTAATTAAAATTGGCATGCCTACAATATTTTGCAGAAATATAGTATACTATTATTACTATTCTTAGCCAGTGTTGACAGGCAGAGACTATTTTAGGTAACTATAAGGTCTGTAAGGTTTAGTCAAACACACAAACTAGCTCGCACATGCACACACGTTGACATGAAGGCATCCACCAGTGCTTGGCTCTCACATTCAGGAGCAATAAAAAATTAACCATAACTAAATGTATAAAGGAATAAAAAAAAAAAGAAACAAACTGAGATGAGCGACAAGCAGGGAAGTTATTTCTATCTGTGTGGCTTCGGTTTAAAGTGTTCTTAAGAACCTTGATGTCTCTCGAAGGCCTTGTTCGTGTAAATTAAACAGACTGAACCGTGGCAGTGCACTGATCACGGAGAATCGGCTCAGTAGAAAATAAAAAGTGCTTGTGTCACACACCACAGCGAGATCTGAGATGCATCCGCTGTGCTGTGTATTGTTATTTGTTGCGGTTTTGTCAAGTGTGTTGGCATGTCAAACTCATCACTATGTTTGGAAAAAAAAATCCTCATTTAGATATATGAACACAGTGCTTCTCTTTCACTTTCTCGCAACAAACTGCTTTTTTGCTATCTCTTTTTCCTAGGTACTGATAAACCCACTGTGCAGAAAATAAAGAATGAAACGAGGAAAAAAAGAAAGGAGAAAGTCTAAGAGTGCATCCTTTGATACAGGAAAACAGATGCACGGGTAGAACAATGAATAAATAAATAATGGAAGAGAGACGTTTGTGTCTTTACGGAAGATGAGAGAAGTTTTATCCCCGCTCCCTGTGGTAGCTGTGCAGGTCGACCTGTGTTTAACGCACACCGCGGGCAACGCTTTCTGATGACATAAATAGCCGATCTTGAAAATGGTTTTCTTCCCCTTGGGTTTTTTCTGTTTCTTTTGTGATTGTGGCAGCTCATTTTAGTCACAATGCGGCAAAACTTTGGAAACATAACACATAACTGGAGTTCATTTATAAGGAGTGCTTTCATTAAATTGCTGTGCCTGGGAATAGTTCAAATCCCAAAGTACACTGTGTGGGCAGGGTACCATTCTAATAACATAAATATATAGACATATATATATTCATATATTCATTGTTTATATTATCATATTCCATGATGTGAACAGAGTGCACAAGGTCATTATATTGTGGCAGCTCATTTTAGTCACAATGCGGCAAAACTTTGGAAACATAACACATAACTGGAGTTCATTTATAAGGAGTGCTTTCATTAAATTGCTGTGCCTGGGAATAGTTCAAATCCCAAAGTACACTGTGTGGGCAGGGTACCATTCTAATAACATAAATATATAGACATATATATATATTCATATATTCATTGTTTATATTCTCATATTCCATGATGTGAACAGAGTGCACAAGGTCATTATGAACATTATAAGCAGAACTGGATGGATAGATTGCGATACCAATACTGCTCAAACTGAGCTCCATTTGACATAGAAAATACAAAAACGTTCCAAAAAATCTGGTGAGCTCCCTCAATGGGAACAGTTATGCTGCTGATGCAAAGGTTGTTGCAAAAGCTAGGTTTAATTATGCTGTCTTTTAAGTTCCCTTAGTTTTTGGTCGTATTCAAAGGCAGCAAATATAAAACACTGAAGAATGCATTGAAACAAATTCAGTAAAAAAAAATATATATCGAAGATGTCAGATGACATACGAGAAATGTTGATTCTATAATTCTGTAATTAACTTAATAATTTTAAGTATTGATATGATTATTGATATGTGAAATTGGTTTGTTCCTCTTGTATCAAACTTGTATTAAACTCAATTGACAACAGTGAGGCAACTCACTAGTTTTTGGAACAGCACAAAAGTCATAGCGAAAGTTTTTGGCAGGTTTTATGCATTGAGAGAAAGAATAGAGAATATGACAAACTAGATTCATGACTTCTGATTTGTTTCATGAATTCCTCAGAGGGAACCTCTTTTTGATCCTTTTTATGAACAGCATGTTTTTTTTCCGCATCCTTCCGACCCTCTGAAGTACAAATGACTTTAAACAGACTAGACAGCATCACTAAACGTTCACAAAGGATTTGCTGCTGCTGCTGCTGCTCATCAAATCGAAATAGAGCGAAAAGGCTGAAAAAAACCCCCAAAACACTTCAATGAACCCAAACAATGGCCATTTTTGTAAAATTAGCTGCCCATAAAACTGTCTTTGTATTGCAAAAAACTACGCAAACTGTAGTCATGTGTGGCTGTTTTTTAGTTTTGTTTCTTGTAGACAAAAACAAGTTGCTTTGCAAGTAGTGAACATGTCATGTAAGCAGTCTTTTCCAACACGTGTTTAAAACAACATAACCTGTCCAAACGCACAGCAGCGAGGCGAAGCAGAAAGCGAGAACGCAAGAGTGAGCCAAGAATGAAACTGAATGGAAATTAAACTCATAGAGTTTGACGACTACTAAGGCATCAGTTGTCAAGTACAATATAAGCCCATGTATATTACAACACAACCATATATTAATTTAATAAAATACACAATATAGCTCTTGTACACTTAACAATTTGGCTCAAATGCACAGAAACTGCAGAAAAATCAATAAAAATATGTTGTTTTTGATGTAAACATTAAATTGGATACATTTTGCACATTAACATGATAATTGTGTATAAGTGACAATGTGAAGGGACATTTCCTTTTTTAAAATCCTTTTGTTGTTGTTGTTAATGTATTGTTTTTCTGAAATCGAAACCAGATTTTTTTCCTTTGCAGTTTAATAAATATTTTTCAACTGCATTTTCCTCCTGTGCGCCCCCCCTTTTTTTTTTTTTTTTTAAGATTAATGGGGTTTTTTTGGTCCACATTTTTTTTTTTTACAAAATGTATAAATATTTCCATTGTTATCTGGACACTATACATAAGTTCATATATTTATATATATGTATATATAGATATATCTTTTCACAGTTGAAGAAAAATGTCCCTAATATACAAGAGAGTGACTGTTATAACTTAACGTCGGACACGTGGAGAGTCACTTTAAAAGCAGTGAAAAGCTGAAGACAGATGAGCACAGAGGACCAATAAGTGACAGTAACAGGTTCACCTTTCTGGAATGTCCCATATGTACGTATACATGGGGGGAGGACACAGTTTACACGTGACTAAAAATGACAGGTGAAGAATGGTTACATTTCATAATCAACCCTTCCCACCCACCCTAAAGATTCATGGCCCCACACACCCCCTCAGAATTCGCTGATATCATTTGCACTTCTTATGCTGATATTACAAAGCCAATAAAAGTTAAAGAGTCTCTGTCTTGGTGTGGTCCATCCATTCTGGGGCGTCCGATGCACCCCGAAGCCTTTTAACTTGCGATTGTCAAAACAAACCATTTTCGTCCACTCCTTCTCCTCCAAAATCCCTGTAGGAGAAGGGTGGGACGATCCATCTAAGGTTCAGTGACATAAAGACGTCACTGTAAGAAAGTGTTTGAAGCTGGTGGGCACTTGAATAAGAAGAAAAAGCTCACAAGAAGCCAGAAGCAGCAACTTCTGCAACTCCAAAGAAATTCCATTGCCCCAATAAACACAACACAGCGTCCAAACGAACGAAAGCAAACTGTTCTTTTGCTCCCTATGTTTACTTGTCGAGATCTTCAAGTACGCATATTTTTTGTCCTCGCAAAATGTCCTCATCTTCACCACACTCTCTCGGAGAGCGCCTCGACTTGGTCCATGTTTCCTCCAGTGTAGTTTCTTATGCTCGCAAAGTCCGTTTTACTTTCTGATGGGAGTGTTTTCATTTCCCCGACAATCCTGCAGCAGTTTGTCGATATCTCTGACCACCTGGTCTGCGTCCATGGTGCCACGGCCCATCTCTCCTCCGCCCTGCTCCAAAACGCTGTCCATTTCCACCACCGTCTCCTGGCTGATTCGTGAACGTGCTTCAGCCAGGACTTTGGCTACGGGGTCGGAGTGAGGCAGCGTGGAGTAGCCCTGCTCTTTGTTCTGCTTGTTCGGGGAGATGTACTGTCCATCTGGGGGTCCATAGTGGCTGGTGCTGGGCTTGCTTTCAGCTCCGTCACCCATACCTTTGGCTGAAGAGCATGGTGAACCTGTACTGCAGACTTTGGAGGGGCTACATGAGGCAGACGAGACCTCCTGCAAGAGAGGGCTGAGGGCACGTTTGGTCTTTAGGTAGGGTTTAACATTCGCCACGAGGATGGTGTGGTCCCGACGCTCCTTCCCAAATGTGCAGAAAGTTTTTTTGCCATTGGGGTTGCAAACCGTCTCGTAAGTTTCGGTCTCCACTGCAACCGCCTCCATGCCTGCCGGTACGAAGAGGTTGGTGCGGTAGTCCGAGCCCTCGGCTTGGGGAGTTCCTGCTCCTCCGGCCCCTGTGGTAAACTGGGGCATCCAACAACGGTCAGAGTGACCCAGCACTCGACACTCCTCCGTGCAGTTGACACAATCCTCCTCTGGAGAGAGAAAGAGAGAAAAAAAATATAAATTTGGCAGGAAATTAAATGAATGAATAACCATATGAAAATTCTGACTAATTTTAAATAATAAAGTTAAGTAAAAAGTAATTTAATCTCAAATAAACTTAAAGATTATTAGTCACAAATGAATACATCTGTCATCAGTGCAAAAACAGCTTGTCATAACATAACACTTCAGTCAGTGTTTCCTGCACCATTTTTAAGCAAAGCTGAATCGCTAGAACCATGTCAAAAGAAATTACATTTTACCGCAGTTGTGAATGTAAGTTTGCAGTTAATTTAATTTTGTGAGATAAAATGACAGTGTACCGCACAATGAACATTCATACAGAACAACCGGTGTAATCTGATTCATGAACAAATGACTCATATGAGCTGGAGCTTTTACTGAATCATTCAAAAAGACTCTTCCACCGAATTCTGCAGAAAGGTTATCATGGTTTCCACAAGGGTATTAAGCATATTAAAAATATTAATATTTCTGAAGGATCTTGTGACACTGAAGACTGGACTAATGATGCTGAAAATTCAGCTTTGCATCACATATTATTTTTTACAGAAAACAGTTATAAATTCAAATCACATTACACAAATCACATAAATAAATCACATTACTTTTTTTGTTTTGTTTTTATTAAATAAATGCAGCCTTGGTGAGCATACGGGACCTCTTTTAAAAGATCTTAACAACCCAAAACTTCTGAATAGTGATAAATATATACACACACCACAACCAAGCTAAACAAAGTCAATAATTATTCAAAAGACGACTTCAGACTTTCAAAGAGAAGAATGGGAACTATCTGCTTAAATATAGTTTTCCATGAATGTTTTTCCCTGTTCTCCCCCCATCATGCTCATGCATTCTACAGTACATCCTCCGTCTCTCCTCACCTCGCCTCTCAGTAGAACAACAACAGCTCAGTTTTGGCAAAAAGTGTGGCGCTGCTATCATAAATTTATGTTACTGGGCTTTGAAGCTGTCCCAAGGCAGCCCTTCCATATCACAAAGCCAAGTGTCTAGTTCGGCACTGCATGTGTATGTATGTGTGTGTGCATCTTCCCTCCTTTCATCTCAGCTCAGAAGAAACCACATTTTGGATTATTGGGGGCTGTTCTGATGGTGTGTCAAATGGGTCCAGTATTGTGAAATGGATTAAAATAATGTATTTTAAAATGGGAAATGAAAGAAGGGGGGGGGGATAAGGGAACAAAAGGGAAAAATGAAAGTTAAAAAAAGTGAAAAGGAAAGCGCAGCTGTTGTCCTGTGAATATAAATGCTCAAAGAGCTCAGGTAAAGCTGAGACCCGGGTCGTGAACACATGCAGACCTCACACACGGGACCCGTGTCATTAGTTCAACGTGCTTTTGACAAGAGAACTGCAGTGATTTGAGCAGAACAAACAAAAGTCTTCCATCCATATTTAATAGTTTAATGACATCTGTCTTTTGGGAGACAAAACACATGGAAACACAAAAAACCTCATGAATTTATGAGAAGAAACGTTTTCAATAGTCTAGCAGTCATCACTCACCCATTTAAGACCTCAAAAAGTGTCTCGGAATAACAGGTGATAGCGGAAAATGACTATAGCGTAAATGCTGGAAGAATCTTCATTTGTGGTATTGATTTCCCCAACTGTAATTCCCAACCATATTAATCTATCCTTCACCTTAAACAGTGCATGAACAGATTAGAAACTTTTCTTATGAAAATGTCATTTTGTCAAATGTCAGTTTGAGAGCACTGTGATTTAGAAACTGATCCAGACAGATGTACTCATTTTCCTTGGATGGCATTTACAATGCATATTGAAATACAATCAGGATATTCAGCTTGAAGAAACAACCGTTCCTTTTCCTTTTTCAGTGAAAGTGCATCAATTCTCTGTGCTAAAGTGTTCATAGCTAAATTGATATCTGTGTTTACTTTCGCAGAAGTGTAGCCGATTGGTTTGCTTTCTTCACGTGATGTGCAAGGCACGGCGTGTATAAATGATGACCTTATTATCATCATTAATCATATTTTAAATTGCTCTTTCAGATGTTTCTCTGCTAAAGGCCAAGCCATGTCATGAAAAATGATCCTCTGCAACTCGGCTCCCGAATCCCTATTGTTCCAGATTTCGCTGTGTGTGTCTGGCCAACAAAAGCCTATCCCTGGGGTTCCCTTCAGTTTGTTTCTGGTCTGTGGGGTTTTTGCTAACCTTGAAAAAGTTTTCAAACTCCCCTACCCATTCTCAATGGTAACGGTACACTGCACCTGCCTCTCCTGAGGTCAAAATATATATTTTCAACACACGGACATCTGCAGTGCATCTGTGGACCGAGCAGAGGGAA